AAAACCAAAACAACAAGGGATCATAATCAGTTCTATAAAAATCATGTAACTCTAATCTTACAAAACCACAGCAGATTCTCCTCTATAATATGAAATAATTTTGATTTTTTTTCCTCTAGGCAGAAGATTCCTCTGTTCTATTAAGTATAGCAGATTTAGCAGTGATGAAATATTCATCTGCACTGTAGCATTAATGCACACTTAAACTACCAGCAGAAGTGAATTGCTCTTCCATTCCCTCCTCACCAACATAATCAGATGCAAATTGAAAACATCCTGCTGTCGATATCAGTTCTGAGTTTCAATATTCCCTGATTCTCAGTGTGATCTTACATTCTCTGCTGGCTGTGAAGGTAGAGACAGCACAAGTGGCTCAAGAATGAGATTTGAATGCCATGCCCCAATATGAATCTGAATTTGTAATTCTGCAAATATTCTGTCTTTCAAAGGTATTTTTGGTTACACTGGGTTTAATGGTATGAGCAGCCAAGTAGTAGAAATGGCATCAAGTAATAAAAGAAACAATAAGAAGGAAAAGAAGAAGCAATGATTGTGTAATAAAATCTTTGAGGTTATTTTACTTTGGCTGCTTGTGGAAACAGGGTGTACAGTTTTGCTAAGACTGCAGAAATTGGTCTAGTGATGTGTAGATGTTATTGGAATACATGAATATGTTTGTTTGCTTTCTCAGTTTTGTTTTTTTCTCTTACTGTGGGGCAGATTTCTAAGGTGTTGATTTGTGATCACTTTATGCTTCTTTCTCCCCTCAAAAGCGCTCTTTAGAATATGAGATACTGCTTAAATCTTTTCTGTATTGTTATTACTCATAAAAGCTGAATGTTAAATATAAATTTGTCCTGATGTTCATGAATGAATGAGTCAGGGTTAAGTCTCCTTGAAGGGATCCTTCCGGTATTTTTGTGTGAACCTGGATTTATTTCATTGAAATTATGAAAACCATGACTTCATTTCTGTGTTTTAATCCTTTAACAATTCCGGCGTGTTTGTAACTTGCAGTCACACTTTATGAATGGATGCGAGCGACAATAGGGTTAGCCCTTCTTGTGTAACCATCTGGCATTAAGAAGACAGCCGTCTTGGCAGCTGAAGCGAGCCACCATGAAGGATTACTGAAACAAGCCGTGAGGATGTCCCTGTGATGTCTCGGATATTGCTCCTCACCGGTGCTTAGCGCAGCCTCTACGGTCACATTTTGTGATTACCTCCGAGCTGTATCCAGACATAATTAACCTGATGAGAGGCTCAGTAAAGCCCAGATGATTTTGAGCCATGGTCGTATATTGGGAAACAGACAAAGTGTTAACAAGGCTTCAGCAAAAACTTGCAGATGCTCAAAAAGCACCAACAATGAATATTTTTTTTAAAAAGTTTGCGAGTTTGTGAGTTGTAATCTGCACATGAAGGAGATTCATCATTCTTCAAAGAGAAGCAATTTGATTAGGGCAGACAAAGTGAGCTGATGCTAAAGATGTGACTGGAGTGTCTCTGGTTTCTATTCATTTTCCTCTTCCATCAGAAGATAGATAATCCTCTTCTCCTGCTTCAAAAAGAAATGATATTGGATGTAGAGAAAGCTGAATGGGTGAACACAAAGTCCTCTCTGGAGTATAGGATGAAAGCAGGATGAAGAAGAACACAGAGCACATTGCTTTCTGAATAAAAATCACAATAGGATTGGACAGTTTCTTTCCATCATTGCTTATTTTGTTCTCATATACTATTGGCTTAAACTGAGAACTAGACTGAAATGCTGAATGCCAGTTACATCCTGATTTGCTCCTTTTCTGTCTGTTTTCTGAGTATTTTTACCATAAAAACCTGGCTACTCCAGATCCGGTCTTATGTTTTTTCTCACCAGAGGGGGTTCCATCCCTTCCCCGGACCAACCACTGTCACAGAGTTTCCTCAGATTTCTTTTTTTCTGATTTCCACCCCAACTCTTTAAATCCCTGTGGAAAATGGAAGTGAATGTTTCTCTAAGCTTGTCTCCACTTCCAGGCTAAAGAAGGTAATACATGTTTCCTGAAAAGCTCAGGAAACATGAACTTGTCAGAACACAATTTGTGTTAAACACTTCATCTGGCTGTGAAAGACTTTAGCGCTTCAAATAGCTTACCGTCTCACAGTGCTAAGTGTAGATGCATTACAGTGAATTGATAAATCAATATAATTTATATCCTACTTGTAAAATAAAGTGTAATGCTTGTTGTTTGGCATATGTGATATACTAATATTACTTTTTGTTTTATTTTCATTACTGAATTTCTACATTGTTAATGTAACTCCATAATTTGTCAATCTGATTCAGTTGGTTTGCTTTTTGTGCTCCTCCCTCATGCTCCTGTTATACCTATTATATAATTTGTATTTCTATCAATACTCATTGAATCTGTCTTCCCAGTTTAAAACTCCTGGTTACATTTTGTGCCATGTCAGCTGTGAAATATTGCCAGATGAGCAACCTTTGTTTCTTAAAATCTGTCAGGTCCTTTCATCCTTCGGTCTCTTACCAGTGAACATAGTTTTAGGCTCTTCTGCACTGGAAGCGCTAATAATTTTGTTGAATCAAATCCCTTATCTTTCCCCAGTACACAATCCCAAATCCAACATTACACTGTAAAATTGTTTATTTTTTTGTTTGTTTCCAGCTCTGCTATAAAAATGAAAATAAAAATCATTTCCAATCAACTTTGTTTTTCTGAATGCATAAAAAATCTCACCTGAAAAATTTTCTGAGTCCTGTTTGACCTCATCTCATCACTAAATCAGCAGCTGTTGCCCAGCTGTATCCTTCCCCCCCTGGCCTGCTGACACATTTCTGACGAAATTTCTCTGAGCTGCTGCCAGTTTTACTCCCCCTCCTACCTTCTCTATCATTTAATCAGACTCTTTCCTCTTGCTGTGGGGTTGATTATTAAATCACTAATGTCTCCTACCTTCTCAAGAAAGCAATTCAAACTGCTTAAAGGCTAAACCTTTCACTGGTTTATTTCTAAATTAATTCCAAGTTTGTAAGAAAGCCGCAGCTCCACACCTGCACCAAAGAAGCTGGAAAGAAAAATATTTTGGAAAATAAAATCAAATTCAGCTTCCCACAATCTCATTCCACTCAAATATAATTGCTGAAGGGATCAAAGGTTTCCTTATGTATTCAAGTGAAGGTGCTTGTGATTAGCACAGGAAGCTTCTTTATTCCTAGCCTGACTGCTAGGCTAGGAAAAAAGACTTGTTGGGTATTAGTGCACCACTTTCTACTTTATTGCTGCCCTGAATTAAAATACTGAGGTACCAGTTGTTGCACATTAAAATGTGCCTTTTTATTTTCAATTGGAACAAACCAAAACAGCAAAATTGACAAAGGTACTGAAGAATGTACACAGAATGTTCAAGCAAAACTTCTATTTTTGGGGCATACAGAAAATCTGATTTTCACACACTGTTTTAATGACCAAACATCCAAAACCTATTTATTAAACAGGATAATTCTACATTATCTGGAAAAATACACTGGTAAGAGGAGAATGAAGAAAATAAGAAATAAAATGAAAATAAGAATGGAATAAGTAATTCCCCCTTGGGGATCAATAAAGTATATTCTATTCTATTCTATTCTATTCTATTCTATTCTATTCTATTCTATTCTATTCTATTCTATTCTGACCTTTCTTGGAGATTTGTTGTTCATAAAAGAGTTGTAAAACGTCCCTGTTAGAACAACATTTATGGCTATTTTAAGCTAACACATGCATGTCTATGAAACTATAGAAGTTAATACTAACATAAAAATATTTCTGTATTTTTGAAAGTAACCAGAATTGCCACCACTGCATTGTCCTCAAGCTCAAAATTAACCTGTGCATTACAAAACCAAAAACAACAAATAGAAACATAATCAGTTATATCATGTTTCCATTACTCACATAGTTGCTTGGTTTCTTTATCTCCCTGCTTAAAATACAGCTAGATGGTCCATTACCAGAATTGGTCTCTTACTTTGTAAAGGTCAGGCAAATGAAATTCAGATTAGATACTGATATCAGGATATAGCTGTTGGGTATGTGAATTGGTTTCTTCTGAAACGGGAAATAAACATGTTTGAACCTTTTCAGATTTCACGGCTTAAGAAATTGGAACATAAAGAAAACAAGATTTTCCAGCTCATTTCTTTATGTGATTAAACCTTTTGAGGAAAGCACTTATGAATAAAGTATACGGTTTCTGCTTTGTTTTCACTGTTTTTCCTCTCAATTTCACTGTTTTTCCTCTCAATTTCAGGGAACAACAAGAGCCACTGCAGCTTGTTGTTCCCTGAATGTGAAGTAGCACAGCAAAAAGCATGTTATTTCACAAAAAACCGTGCATCTCAAATAGCCGACATATTGAATATTAGTGCACCACCCTCTACTTTATTTCTGCCCTGAAACAAAATACTGAGGCACCAGTTGCTGCTGGTCAGCTTGTAAAACCAGCAAAACACTTAAAACCTTCTGTCTTCAAACGAGAGGATAAAATTGGCCATGATGACAAGATATTCAATTGATTTCCGTGTATGCTCAACCTGGAGTTATTAATCATCTAATAATACATTATGTTCAGCTGTAGACAGGTCTAACCTTTCTTGCTCTGCCAGAGGCATTCCTGATCCGAACATGTGCTGCATGATAATCTGTCCTCACTGGACTTTGCAGCACTGTCAGAGACGTCACCGTCCTGTTTTGATCTCTGACTGCCACTCTGTGGTCGTAAATATTTAACACCGCTTCCGTCTTTTCCCACACTAGCTACAATAAATCTGAAGCCTGTATCAAAATTTAAGGTTCAGACATAGGTGTGACAGAAATTTCCCCATTTTAGGACAATAAATGAATTTGTAAAAGAGTCAAGGTCACATTTCTTGCACTCCTGCTGAATATGTGTGAAAAGTGTCAAAATGAATACATGTTTTAATTTAGAAAAAGAAGGGAAAAATGTTTCATTGCTCATTGAATTTGACTCCATTTATTCAGTTACAAAACAAGGTCAGGTTAATTTGTCATGTTTTGAGAAATGTACCTTTAAATTGAGTAAATTTCAAATTAGAAAAAAAAAAAAACAACAACAACACAAAACCACAGGGGGAAACAGGATGTCCTCAATTAATGAATACAATTTTCAAGATCAAAAAATGTTACTCAAACGTTACTACAATGAAAGATCTGCCAGCAAATATGGCACAACTGTAAATAAAGCATTTTTTTTGGGGGGGGAGAGGGGGGAGCCAGAGCAGTTTGCTTTTATCTTTTGTCTAAGGAGCAAGACAAAAATTAGATCTGCCTTGGCAAAAAATCAGGCCCTGGCAAATTTTCATCCTGTGTCATTCATCAAGATTAAAGAAAATAACCTTCGAGTGATCAAAGCCTTGTTTTTGATCATGTTTTCCTTTTCACCTTAAAAACCAAGTCAGGTTTTGACGGTTTGACATCGTATCAGTTTTGTGATGCTGAAACTATGTCTTCCATCTATTTCAGCACACCTGTTCTTTTACATCTTCTGGATCATCTTGTATATTAGAGTGGGTTAAAATGCTGCACAACAATCCATTCATAATAATCCTAACAATCTGTGGGCTACAATAAAAAAGCCAATCATGTACGATAACTCTAAACTTTTCATTTATCAAACTCATTTCATGGGCAAGTACGCTAATGATAATAATAATAATAATAAAAAACAGTGGATGTTTTATTAAAACCACAGTCATGTCAGAAAGACTGTTGCCTGTCTCTAATGAGTGGGTGAAAGTGGAAGCACACTGCGGTTATAAGAAAGCCCGTAGATGGGACTCATCTCTGCATGCCGCAAGCTCTCCACCTTGCCAAATTGCCGCAGGTGGAAGAGAAGGGTGAGTTTTCGGGTCATTGTCCTCAGCGCCAAGAAGGAAGCCAGGATTTGGGCGATCAGGAAAGTAAGATAGATGGAGTGAACGGCTCTCTCCAGAGGCAGAATGATAACGCCTTCATCTGTGATGAAGAACAGCAGCACGGGCAGCTGGAACGTGAAAGACAGGAGCCAGAAGGCTGCCAGGGCTGGCACCTGATGACAGAGAGGAAAGAAACAGAGTCTGGTGCAAAGAGTGAAAGACTGAACATCCCTGAGAAAAGCTATTGATGAATCAATTTCTTAAGAAGTCCAGTTTGCAATTGCAAGTCATGTAGAGAACACAAAAACATGTAAAAAGACTTTAACTCAAATTTAGAGATTAAGATGTGGATTAAAAATATATATTTTTTTAAAGGGGAATGAACAGTTTTGCAGGGAACAATAAATGTTGAGATGTATTGTCGCATGAGAACTTTTCTTGTGGTTCAGAATGGATGTGTTTCTGAGTTACCTTTTCTTCAAGGTTGCCAATGTAGCCCAGATAGAGTCGGATCACTTCAATCACCGTGACAAGGACCAACCCAGTTATGAGCAGAGCCTGGTAATATCCAGGAAGATAGTGATACTGTAAACAGAGAAGAGATGTCATGAGAAAATTGTAATTTACACAAACACAATGCATTAAAACCTGTTTCTGTATCTTCTGAGAGGTCCCTTGGCTTTGTTTAATATGCATACATGATAAGCATTATTTTCACTTTGGCTTCTTATTATATTACATACAAAACTTAAGAGCAAAGCATTTTCAAATAGCAGCAAAACCTATTTTTTAACTACTTACTTTAATATTTACTTTGTAGAGTCGTTTGTAATCTGCTGCTCTGGGAAAAAAAATTCATTCCTTCACTCTTAATAACTTTGCATTTCATAATTTAATAAAATAACTTTTCTTCACTGTGTTTTCCATCAATTTCTGCACACTGCTTCCATAATCATTTCTCTTATTTACAGTACATTGTTTTTTAACGTTATTTTTTTAAATACATTTTTACAACAATGTTTTTTTATATATATATATAAAAGTTATTTAAGTACCAAATAAACAAATAGTACTATGAAGAATCTAGAAAATGTGACTAAAATTTAAAAGGTTAATACAGTTTATTGTGGTTTAAGGACAATTGTATTGAGTAAAAGTGAGAACTAGAGTCACCATATGAAAATACTTTTTTTAGGAGAAACCACTAGGTGGTGCCACAATTAAAGCCTTTTTTTAAAGAAAAAAAATCAGAATAATATGACATTTTTCATATTTGGAAGTTGATGATTTTCCATTCTTTAATTTTTTTTCTTGATTATTTACTTATTATTTGCGTTGTGTCACTTGTTTGTAAAATATGTTTGATTGACTTTCTGTGACTGGAGGTTCACAGTTTCCACGGTTTTTGATTATGTCACTTCATAGGTGTAAAACTTAGAGTGCAATTCTATTTATATAGAGTGAAGCATTACATACAATTATGGTTGGTAAAAAATATTTCAAAACTTGCTTCCATTTAATGCAGTTGTTTTGAGAAATATTTCAAGTTAATAGTGATTTTCCAAATACTTACTTTCACTTCCAACATAAATACAGCAGAAAACCACCAACAAGGAAAGTAAAACAGGTTGAAGTACAAGAGCATTTGAAGGGGAAGGTGAGAAATCAACTCGTTGACCACTGAAAAAAATAAAAAAATAAAAAATCAGAGAATTTTAGATAATTTTACAGCAACATTAAAATAAATGTGGTTTGTTGGGAAATACATGTGGAATAATCTGTTTGAAATCCTTACCAAAAAAGAGTAATACAGTATGTAAGCAATATAACAATATCCAAATCTCATGTAACTACAAGAGATTTTAAAACATATAAAGAAGGTGAATTTTCATATGTTTTGTTCTGAGCGAATATGAAAATAATGTGTTGTTAGTACACATGACATCTGTCACAATCAGTTCTATTAAATCTAGTTTAGTCTCCCACAAAAAACATTGAACTGTACATTCATATAGATTATGTTTTACCAAGGAAGATGCTGACAGCTTTTATTGGCTATGCTTTTCATGAATGCATAATGAAGTGTAACATCAAGTTCATGAGTTGAAACAACACAAGTGGCTGCTGCATGCTCATATGCATATGGTGATTCAAATAAAGAAACAGTATATGTGCTGACTTTTAATCATCTAAAAGTTATTCTTTAGCTAGATATAATGATATCCCAAATATAATAAATCTCTTCAGTGACATGTTTTGTCAGACCATACATTATTTTAAAGAATATTTGATTCTTCTACAGTTTAAATAGTGGGTAAAAATACCTGAACTTGTTTAGCTTGGTGCTATACTGTATAGCACCAAGCTGCTCCTGGATTTTTGGTGCACATTCAAGAGATGAACTTCTCTAGTCATCCTGCATTTTATCAAATAGAAACTCCTAAACTTGGTAGTTGTAGAGTAGTGTTTGTAAAGTTGTAAACAGGAGTTATAAACAGTATTTATTTGCCAGGCTGATGTTAAAAGCACAGTTGCAGAGTGTTGAACGAACCACATGCATCCTCCTGTTCCCTGCTGAAGTCACTGTCCGCTGTCCTGTTGTTGGTGAACACGGAGCCTCCCATGTAGGCAAGGCCCATCTGCAGGTTCTCCGGTACAGGCGAGTAAAACACAGGCATGGTGGCTAAAACCTTTGGTCATGGCAGAACTAACAATCCAAATACTTTAATTGTGGCGTCTGTATCTGGATCTGCAGCTAATTCTTGTTGTCCTCAATACTATAAATGCACAGTAGAGATTGTAATGGCTACACAGAGACAGACAGTCCAATGCAACTGCTAATCAGATTATCAAGAGGGAGGCGGGCTGAGGATTAGTCTGAAACACTGACATTATACTTTGTCTGTTGGAGGATATTTTTTATGAGTAAATCTGTTTATATGCTTTGGGAATAAATTGGTAATTGAGTTACACTGAGTTGACATAAGGACAGCAGTGATAACATTGGCAATTTACGCTGTTTTGTTCCTGGCAATTTAGCACAATGATAAAAATGGATAAAAATGGAATCTAGATATTTGTGTTTTTGTAATTTTTATTTAAGTGTGTAAACCAACAGTAAGCCTTCAGTATGCCGAACACTCTCCACACTGCATCCAACCAGCGAGTCCTCAGAATGGAGCCTGGCTGTAACAGTCTTGCCTTTTAGCCCCACTCATCATTAATGCGGCTGGGTTGCAGATGTGAGGTTTGGCCACATGGGGTCGTCACAGCTCGTCCCTTGGTGCGTGCAGGGGGAAGTTCTGGAACTCCTCTGGTACTTTTTCCCCTTTCTGGGACCTCTTATAGAAACCAAGAGACTCTAACAGGCTGCTGATCTCATCTGCCTTCATGTTCTTCACAGGGACAGTCTGATGTTTCAGGAAACAGAAAAAACAAAAGCAAGGACACATCAGCATCCCACAGCTAGGGGTTTAGTTGTAACTCTGTTGGCTAAATACTGGAAATTATATTGAAACACATTCCTGTTTGGACAGAAATTAGAAGGTAAAAAACAGTAAAAGGTTTGTAAATTCATGAGTCAAAGTGGAGGATCTTTATTAGGAGTAATTGGGTGAGATCCAGGGTGCAGCCTGCACACATCACCAGTCGGTCACACCAATGGACTGTGAAAGGAAACCAGAGTACCCGGACAGAACCCACACATGCACAGGTAGAATATGCAAACTTCAGGCGGAAAAGAAAAACATAATTTAGTCAGGGACCTTCGAGATGTGCCTCTGAAATGCAAATTTTACCTTTACAACCTCATCCTTTTCATTGTAAAATATCAGACGGGGCTTCTTCTCCTCTGATGAGTCATACTCTAAGTTATGGCTGTATGGCAAAAAACAGATCAGGGAAAATAACAGGTAGGAAGCACATTTGTCTGTTTCAGTTGACTCAAGTTGATAAGACTGGGAGCGCAAGACTTTTGGAAAGCTCACATATCTGGAACAGGATTTAGCCAACAGCTTGAAGCCATGTCTCAGCAAGAAAATGTAGAAATGTGACAGAAGCAGAAGGATACTATAAAGCCGATCGCTCCATGAGGAAATGATGGAGCTCAGGCATTTTCTTTATGGCTCATCCAACCACACTGGGTGCCTGCAAAATTGACAACAGACAGTTGTTCTAACTGGTGTGCGCGTGTATTTCATTGTGTGAACATTGCTCTTATATCTCAATAGAAAATAACTCAATGAACCTGCAGCTCATTCTTTGTAGTACTTATTTTTCTTTTGTTTCGTTTACCTTCCTACTGTTATTTGTAAATGCAGAGATCATTGTTTTAATTTAACACATTCTCAGCAAGAAATTTAGTTAAATCTTTTAATGAAAATAAATCGAGGTGATTTTTCAAAGTTATCTGTGTGTGTTATTTTTTTAGTTCCACTCACCATCAGTTTAGCTCTGGCTATAACAAGCCGCTCTTCATCTGCCGTCTTGTTGCTGCTTTCTAATGCTCCTGCAACAAGTCCAAAAGTGAGCACCAACAAGACCCACATGCTAGAGATCAGCTTGTGTCTCTAAATCCTTCTGCTGAAGTTATAACCAGCAATGTGTAACTTTTGAATTCTGCTGGACAGGTTTTCAGGATGGATGAGTCCATAAGAAACTCATATGGGGTAGTTCAGCTCACCTGAGTGAACCATTGTGCTTCTTCCGTTTTTACTTATATAAATTTAGACATTAATGAAGACCACAAAAACAAATGTAGTCACCCGGTTGACATAGATGTAGTCGTATTGCCAAAGTCGTGGTTATCAGTCTCTTTTGATTTATTTACTGTCCCTAGTTTTGAGGAATAGTCTCCTCCACATCAGCAGGATTCCAGAAAGTCCACAGAACATCTTTACTGTTATCACTTTTTCCCATACAGTACACAGTCCACAAGATGTAGCCCCTGGGAGCAAGCCAGATGCTCTCGTTCACTGACAGCTAAAGTTCAGTCTTTGGTAACTGACCCGATTCCAATGTAAAAATAATGCAATTTGTTCATTTAAAAGTAAAACATATGCTTGTTTTGTAACATCAAAATCTAATTCAAACTTTGTGAGCTTTACTTTTGGCATATTTTTTTCTTAAAAAGTAATTCATATGTTTGGCTTTACTTCAAATAACTGAAGAAAATGTATTTGAAAATTTAGTAAATATTTAAATCGACCAGGTAGATTATTTCTCATGGAAATTTCACAGAGATTTTTTGCTAACATTTTATCCAACACTGTTTACATGTTTACTAACTTAGACCCTGGAGGCCTTCACAGAGTCTACTTACGACGAAACACTCAACGTGTGTTTTTTTCTTTGAAGGGGCCTCTTAAAATGATTAAAATTAAAGTGGAAGTTTATTTGCTTTACCAAGTCTAATGTGAAACTCTGAATTTTTATAACAACTTGGAGCTTGTTTGTAGCTGTTACTTATCTTTGAAAGTTTACATTTTGTTCAAAAGTTTAAGGTTATTATTGAATTGCATCCAATTTTTCTTGGCCAATGGTAGAGGAAAAACAGACTTGCTTCACTTTCTTCCAAACCACCTCTCAATCATGCAGCTCAAGATAGTTAAATCTTGCTTTAGTTAATCTGGTAAATAACAGAAGTTTAATATATAGCTAGGTCTGAAGTGGTCAAAAAACCTAAAATGGAGCCAGTTTTTTGAAGAGTGGCCTCTTTCAGTCTACTGAATGCAGTGAGTGAGTCACAATGTCTATTTAGAAACTTTCTAAGTTTAGAATGGGAATGTTGCCATAGTTCAGCTGCTGGAGTTTGTTTCCACTGTTTGGTACTATATTAGTTAGGTCTGTTTTAGAATGGCATGTAGCTTGGGAAGGTGAGTTCAGCCGGGAATCATTTGTGCTGGATTAATGTTCTTCACTTACCTGCAGAAAGGGCTGGATTCAAAGACAAAGCAGCACCACGAATCATGGCTGCAGAGACACAGGCTTTCAGCAAAACACCCTGGGGTCTGCCATTAGAAACAGGACTCAACACAAAATAGATAGCCGAAAGATACTGGCAGACAAAAGGTACATAGGACTCTATGATTAAGTCGCATGCTGAGCAATGTATAGATCGTCTGTGCTGAGGATAGCCCTGAGGTAGCACAGAAAAACTGCAAGACATAGTCAAGACCGGCTGAAAACTATAAGTACAAGATCCTGAGGGTTTTTTAGATCCAGGCACAGGTGATGGTTATCCAACTGGACCTGAGGTTGCAGACAAAGCAGTGAGCCATATTGCTATATGTTGGAATGCCATCGAATAGCAAGAAAAAGAAACATTTGAAGCCAGCAAGCACTTATGTTGCTTGACTCTCCACAAACAGAAAAGCCACTGGCCTTTGTGGAGCCAGTGGTTGGTTGTAGGTGCACAAGGAAACCTGAAATAAAAGATTTCAGCATTGACTTTTAAGACCTCAACTGGGAAGAGTCCAGTCCTTAAAACAGCTAAAATTTGACACACACACAAAAACAAAACTCAAATCTACCTGATACAGAACTTAGGTCTGAAGTGAATAGTTTGAGGAGGAAGTTTTGTGTTCATATATATTTATTGATAGAGAGATACTATTGTTCTTAAAGGAAATAAAGAAAATGAGAGTGGCTTATATTCCACTTTGTGTAACATGTAGGGTTCATGTCAATGCACTCTCAGTGTTATTTTGTGTCTCTATATTTTGCTCATCCAAACACTGGTACTGTTAAACCTTTCTTCTGACTTTTCCTTCTTTACTGCTACCAAGATAACCAATGTTTGACTCCATTGTGCTCTCTGCATGAATTCAGGCCTTGTGACAGTGCTGCATATTTGCAGTGTATGAACACCCTGAATGTGGAAAAAAAGCTTCTCCTCACCAAGTTTATTCAGTCACTTAATGTTGCGAGAAAAGCAAATTCATTAGGTCACCACAAGAGGGTGGCAACAGCTGTCTGTGAGCTTACTGGCAGTCTGGTGGGTAAAAATGTTCTTCCAATTTCTAGCCACAGACAGTTATGATTCCAACAAAAATAAACATTCGTGCCTGGAATCCTGAAGCAAAACCATCTTGTTATCTCCATCTTTTCCAGACGCAGAACTGTGCACTTTAGAGTTCTGCACCCTGCATTCAACTCTTAGAAATTACATGTCCAAAGGCGATAAAACTGTCCCACTTTCTAACAAGGTTTCCTCCCTTTGGAATTTGTCATAACTCTGTAGGCTTGTACTGTTCCTGTTTTACATCTGCATCATTGTGTCTGAATCTTTTCTCACAATGGATCTTAACCTTGGAGAACTTAAATAGTTGATGTTAAAAAAAAAGCAGCTCAGCACATGAGAGGGGAGAACATACAATGAACTGTGGGGGTGGGGTGATTTTGCTGAGGCCAGGTCTATACATGTGGATGTGTCCCATATGTGTTCACAATCAGCATGTTTTAGCTTACATCACATGGTGTCTGCCAGGAGGGGTTTGTTGTTATTAATGTGCTGACAAAGGGAAACTGTAGCCATTTATAACCAGGCAGTTATGGGGCTGAAACGCAGATGATGAAAACGTTTACGAAGTTCAGACTGAGCAACATTTTCCAGCAGCACTTTTGGGCAAAATGCAACACTTGCAGCTGGAAAAAAGATCAAACGCCTAAACACCTCGCTCAGATCCTGCTTACTTTTCAGAGCTTGTTATAAAGAGACACACACTTCCTGTTTCTCCAAAGCACCGGATGCTGTCTACTCGAGCCAGCAGAGCTTGTGTAGACAGCGGTGTAGTTGTTTTCCTTCGATGTGAGATGTAAAAAATATATATATTGCATTGACTTCCCATATATTACTGTTGAGTTTTATTAGTGAGCTCAAATACATGGAGGAAATCGACACAAATACGCTTTCAGGTTTTTGCTGACTTTCGTCTGTGTGTATTTGCCTGTTGGGGTCCTCAGGGCAATTGGCTACAAAGTATAATATACCTCACCCTGCTGTGCTCCAGTCAGCTACCAGCAAAACTACCATTAAAGTCGTGATACACAATTGCCACTACTTAACAAAGTTATGTAAAATAGACAATTATAGCTTTGTTATAGAGCTAACTTGTCGTGGCAGAACAAATAAACTATTTTGAAGTGCCTGCATGCTAAATAAGGGCCACCATGGTTAATTGAACTTACAGTTAGCATTATTTAATAGCATAAAAGCTCCAGGCATGCAGACACTGTCCAGCTATGCCAGCTTTGGAACAAGATATGTCAGTTGTAGTCTTGAATATTTGAAGGATTTAAAGTCCATCTTAGCTTTGGTTTTATTAAGATAATGAAGGCATTTAAGCTGACTGTTGTTAAATTTTCTGGTGTCTTTTGGTGGAAATGAGTTAATTTTCTCAATTGTACTTCAGATTATCATTCAGAAATTGTTAAAAAAATAAAGATGTTGCAACTTCACTGGATAGAATTTATAATGAAAATTGTTTGCTTTCAGATCTTGATTTTGCTTGAATATTTGACATCAACATAATAATTCTTCCTTCAGTTGCAGTCAAATGTTTATATGCACTTTACATGGCCATGAATGCCACCACTTTGATCTTTTAATGATGTAGTTCAACCAATGTTTCCCCCAGAATGTAGTTATTATAAAATGTACATTATTTTCTTGGTATAAACATTTTCACTCTAATTAAAAGGTAGAAAAGTTATGAAAAGCACCAAGCAAAACAGTCAAAGTATTGGCCAGTGGTACCATTTTTCATAATTAAAACAAATTTGTTTTCCTTGTTAGAAGAAATAGAAACAAAAAAACATCTCTCAAAAGAACAGCTCTAGGTAAGTTTTTGAACTTATGGAGGATGTCAGCAAATTATCAAGGCAAACAGCTGTTGGCTGTTCGGTCCTGTGAAGATAGTTCTTGAGGAAATGGTTGCGATCCATTCTCTGTGTTTAACCCTGACTTCTAACTTTCCTCAAGGGAGAAGAATCAAAAAACAATTTCCCTCCTCTAAGGTCATGAATGTATCAGATTGCTAAAGCAACAACAGAACCCATGCTTTTGTCATCTGTCGTCACATGCCATAGCCACAGCTGTCTTACCAACTATAGAACCTTTCTAAAAACACTGCAGTGACAGACCTCTGCTCGGCATGCAGAGGTTAGCAGACAGTAATCCCCGCATTCGCACACTTCCATGGGGAAGGAGATGAAATAATAGACAGGAGTGACAGGATGTGTGAAAGAGTTTGTCGGGGAAGTGGGAATGAGGTGAGCGCAGTGGAGTTTTTGCACTTATAGACGTCCAGTTTCTGGCCACATAATAGAAGCCAGGGGGCAAACAGACAGCAAGCGCTGTTCCCCACCCTGTAATCTGTTTCTGCCTAATCAGAAACACATGGCTTCCTATAATGACTCCAGTGTTGCACTGTGAAACAGAATGAGTTGTGAGGGTCAAATGGTGGTATCATTGCTACACACAAACACACAGTGACAAAAGCCATTGTGATGAAGATATTCTTTTAAATTCCAATGCTGTTCAATAGCAATTATATTAATTGTAATTTTGAACAATTTCTCATGTCACAACCATAAACTTCAGTGTAGTTG